TTGATGATTCAACTTAATTGTATAGTCTAGAATAGCGAGTAGGACTCTTAGCTTGATCATACTCTTTTGGCATTTCATATTCTCTAAGCATATTATAGTGTAGCGCACTTTATCTCTCTCCCATTAAACCAACTGGAAAAAGGGCAATTGCTTGATGAAAGAGTCTTTAGTGGCTATTTTATCCATATTTATCCTCTAAGGTTTCAGAAATGTCAATATCCTCATTAACTATTGATTAACAACCCATACTGAGCCAAGGGGAATCAGCACCTCCATTTCCACACTAAATCTACCAATCCTTCCATTGTGTAGACTAACTATTCTACATGAGGCAATTAGTCATCCACTCATACTGCAGTCCTATGGTGGATACCTTCATTTGTGGATGCTCCACCAAGAAGAAAGATGTATGCATAGATGCCTAATATGTATAATTTCAAATTTAGGAATAAGAATATACCTTATTAAAGGGTATATTATATTTTTAAGTAGCTAATAATTAATAGGAATCAAACCTGTGCTATTTAGACATGTAACACACCCTATCTCTCTCCCTTTAAACCAACTAGAAAAGGGGCAATTGCTTGATAAAAGAGCTTTTAGTGGCTATGTTATCTCCATTTATCTTCCAAGGTTCCAAGAATTCATGGTAATAATATATTTAAATTTCATTCCATGATCACATATGTTACACTATAGTTTCTAAGTTGATCATATTTTTTAGGCCGATTATAGTTTTTAGGCTTATTTTCCTTATGGCTAGGTGGATAATCTTGAAAATTACCCCTGGGTAGATAATCCCAATGGTCATTTTGCCTTTTAGCACGTGGATATTCACATTTAACACTTCAATTATCATTATAATTGTTCCTTTTACGATAACTTCAATCATCAAATGGATAGCTTTGCCTACATGTTTTTTTATTAACTTAGGCTACTTGTTGGCCTCTTGGTTATTTAAACAAAGTCCTACATTCCTTAGCTATATACCCTTTTTTTTCATAAATTTGGCACTTGATCAGCTAAAGTTTACATTCTTCCTTACTATGGTCTTCATTTTTACATTTGATACACTAATTCCCTTGTTTGAGATTGGTTTGTAATTTGAGGCTTCTTAAATGATTAGTTTCCTTGTCTATATGATTCATCATTTTATCTGACTTCACCATATCTACCATATTATATTATTTTATGACATCTTGGTAGGCAATCATGGCTTTTTTCAAGTCATAGAAATCTATATAAGCTCTCTTTATTACATGTTTACAATAAATTTTCTTGTGGCCCTATATGTATAAGCATAGGTGCATTTTGTCTAACACTAAATCTTTATAATGCGTATAATGTTTATTGAATCAAGTTATGTATTCCTCGATTGTCTAAAATTTTCCTTGATGCAAGTTTTTGCAACTCATCATAATTTTCTCCTGGGTTCCTCTATACCATTATATTGATCATCGCCATTGTTTCCATCAAAAGCCAAAAAACGTATAAGGCATTTTTTGAAAGTCACAGAATTACAATTTTCTAAAACAAGTAGGAGAGCATTCTTTTTCACACAATTTGTAGTGTCTTTTGTCATTGCATTTATCTCCAACTCATGATCACTATCCTCACTATCCTCTCTTTCAATCTCTTGTATGGTTTGGTTATATTATGCAATAGGATAGTTATTGTATCTCCTAGCCCTTGAACCTTAGGAAGAAAGATTGTGAGAGTTAAAATTACTAACACTAGAACTCATAAGTATTTGTGTGTATTTCCTTCTTTTTGAAGGAGAGTATGAATGAAATAAGGAAAAATTTTATCTACTCATCAAATATGCCAAGATTTTAATATCATTATTATAGTACCAGTCTTTGGCTTTATTTTTAAGTGTATAGGGATGTAGTGCACGTGGTTTTTACCCTTTATCCTATGGTGATTTACCATAGGATAACCACGAAGTAGAACCTAAACCCTTCATATGCCACATGTCACATGCCATATACCACATACCATGTGTCCAAAGGATAGTGGTGCAAAACCCAAGTTCTAGGGCTTTGGGCCACTGAACGAAGGGATAGTGCTAAACTCCTAGCATAGAGCCAAGGAGTGATGACACTGGAGCACATAATGACTCCCGAGTGTACAGCTCAAAAAGTGAAGGGATAGAAGCATAGAGCGACTTAAAACAGTCCTAGAGTATCTAATATCCCAATGCCAGGACCAGCAAACAAAATGGAGTCAAATGGAGTTTGGCACTATTTCAGCATACCGATAGCTTAACGTGAGGACATGAGTACTCCACCAGCTAGCATGGTGTGAAGCTTGGGTTTAGACCCAAGCCGAATGCAGAACAAGGACAGACACACAATCAGGAGCTCCAACTTACCCACTATCCTTACTATACATTTGGAACCTCCCCCTTGAGGAACACATGTTTTGGGCTTTCACCCCAAGCCTCCCTTAGTATCAAGAGTTAGTCTCTGGGACAAGCTTAAAATGGCGTTAGATTGTGAATTTGGACACGGGACGAACACCATTGTGTTCAGGACAATCTCTACATTCCGTAGATATGCCAAATGAATAAATCTAGACACTTTCCATAAATAGCATATAGGACTGAAATAAGACTAACACAAAGGACATGATAGCGAGGGTGTTTAGCAGATACAGTAAGCTATCATCCAACGATATTGAGAGACTAATCTCAATACGCGAGGGTTTTTGTCAAGCCAATGCAAGACAGAGCAAAAGAGAACTAAAAAACCGGGCTAAGTATGCTTGGGTAAATAGACATTTAAGAATTCTGTCTTTATGCTCATCCGGCCAAGTACAGATGCAAAGTCCAGTTTACTAACATTTGAACAAGAGGGACTAATAAAGGGACTAATAAAGGGTCTAGCAATACCGACCTCATACCATCATGGCAGTAAGGAAAAAGGGTTCGTAAGGATTGGCTGACAGGTAACTTTCGATACCCGAAGTCACATTCGCAACAATAGGGGAAAATATTATTTTCTTGCCCATTTGCTTGATTAAGCTTGATTACTTTTGTGTATTGTTCAATATGCAGTTATAGGTTTTCCCTTTAATTCTAAAAAAGGATGGATAATTTTGCAATTAGTATAGACAAAATAAATGTTTGGTTTGTAGGGGAACTTGGATCACCATTAAAGGGTAAAGGTTATAAATTTAGCTTTTCTTCATTTTGTGGAGAATCAGTCCAGTTATTTTGTGTTTCACTACTTTCAGTTGAAGTAGAGGTGCTTTCTATGTGCCGATGCTACCAAAGAGGAGTAGCGTATGGATTTACATATTTTGAATGATTGTCAAAGTCATATTGGGATTTTTTATTTCCTCTTTATTGAGGTGTACTTAATATGTTTTTAGCTCGCTCTCTTTCAAACTTTTTTCTAGCTTAATTGAGCAATGATTTAATCTATTTTAAAGAGAGGTTAAAATCACAAATATCATAAACAAATGCTCTGTAATCTTATTCTAGATCTTGTGAATATTTCTTTTCAAATTGTCTTCCACTCATCAGATTGTGAGGAAAATGTTGTATATTTATTATCTTGTTTGGTATAGACAGTGAGAATTTTATGCATAGGGACTATACCCTTTAAAGCTTTATAGGTAAAATTAATTGTTGGTCTATACCTATATATTTCAAGATCTGTTAGCATTGCTACTATAACAACTTTAGTTATTATACCTCGTTCATGGAGTGAGTGGTATAAGGTTTTGATATGCAATGTGTTCCTCTTGTAAATTGGCCTATCAATCATTCTTAGAAACAAGCACCTAACTTCCCAATCAATTTTGAAATGAGGATGCCTTTCCTCTAAAAGCCAAATGTTTAGGATATTTCTTATATAAAAGTCTTAAAAATTTCTCAAGTAACAAATGCTATTTTTCATAGCATATCTTTCTTGCTCAAGTATGGTCCACCTTAAGAGATTTTTACTCCACAAAATTTTGTTACCTATCAATCTAGATTTGAAATTGATCTAATGTATATTAGCCTAATTATTAATAAGTGTATTTCTACCTATGGGTATCAAAGTTTTATTGTGGACCATTAAAGTTTCTAGAATAGCTTCTTTACCTAAGATTGCATAAAATTTTAACAATTGCTTAGTAAGTAGAATTTTATAAATCTTTTATAGGTTATAATATTCAAGATTTGCATCTAGTTAGGATAAGAAGAATTTTAGTGTCTTTAGCTCCAAAAATAAATATTTAATTTACTTACAAAAATCTTTCCAAAAATGTAGAGAGCATAACATTTCTCTTAATCTAGAGAAATGTACTTTTTTTTTAAAATTTGGGTATACTTTTAAGTCATATTATATGCAAAAAAAGCATCATTGTAAACAAAGACAAAACTCAAGTGATTGAGATAATGTCTCCACCATATAATTTAAAAGTTTTTGTTTTCTAAACAAAGTTGGATATCACAAGTGATTTGTAAAAGCTTATACAAAAATTGCCAAACCACTTACTGATTTTTTTAAGAAAAATACTTCATTTATATAGAACGATAATTGTCAAAAATTATTTTTAAGGCTTAAACAATGCCTTGAAAAAGCATTTATACTTGTTAAGCCTAACTATATGAAAAAGTTTCACTTACAAGTGGATACTTTTAATATTGCCACATATACAATATTATCCCAAACATAAAGTGATCAAAAACATCATCTTACCTACAAAGTAGTCAAAGAATACAGAGATATGTCCACCACTTCCCAAGAATTATTTTGTGCCAAGAAAACAAATGTCTATTTGTCCATGCTCAAAATCATCTTATTGCAATCAACGACAAGGGGGTTGTAAACTCCCATGGCAGTGGCAGAAGAGGATCCCATCGATCCTCCACCAGATTGTATACCTCAGTGTCCAGTTCCCTCGCCCCAAGGTTCCCACCAACAATGTAGAGCCAACCCTCCATACATACGACACAGCATTGGCACCGCAGCACTCAACTGTTTGTGTGAATCGAAGATGCTTACTGATTTCCCAGTGGAATCCCATCTCCCAAGAAGTTAGAGCGATCATCGTAGAACTTGGTGCTGAAGACGAGATTCCTCCACGCTCGGCTCTGCCCATGCGATGAGAGCGACACTCGCAGGAGGCACTGGTACACAGCATCATCTTCCAGGCCAGGGATGAGCGGCGCCGTCGCCATAGCCGGGCTCTATTTGGAAGCACGTTCTTGTGTAATCTCTGGCATCTTGACAAGGCGATCAAAGCCTTCCACTCAATCCAGGATCCCAATGTCTTCTCCTGGAACAGTCCTTCAATGATGCCATGAAAGCCTTGTTTCTCTCGGAGAGAGACGTGGTGACTTGGACGACTATGGTGAGCGCATCTGGAATGTCTTCTCTACTTACGAAGAGCCGCTTGCATGCTACGCGCACATGATCACGCTGGGGCATCCCAGAAAGACTAATCATGTTTCTAGCCGTGGACACTTTTGACGAGAGGGACACAGTGGCAAGGCTTGGACTCAATGCCCACATTGGAGATCTTGAGTAAGCGGATATCCATCAAGGATATGTCGTCCTAAACGACGGTGTCACCAAAATGGAGCAGCTTGGAAGCTTAGTTTGATCGAGACAAATGTTGATCGTGTTCCACAGCGGGAACTTACGTCCTGGAACGCCATGGTCTGCGCATATGCCCAGATTGGACATTTCCAGGAACTCTTTCATCTCGTCAAAAACGTTGCGAGCTTGTGCCATGCTCCCACACTTTGCGTACATGTCCACCATCGTCCTCCCTACGTACAAGTCAGAGACAAAGCCACGCTTCGCCGCTGCGGCATGCAAAGCCATGCCCCTCTCCAAGCACCTCTTCTTGGCTAGGAAGCTCTTTTGCAGATGCCCGAGAGCATGGACGGCACTCTTTGGCGCCGCGGTAAAGAAGCGCGATAGATGTTCTTCAAAATGGAAATGCCTCGCAAACGCAATCCGGGATGCGGCCCGAGAGGACCTTGCGATGCTGCTCGAGGACCACAGACATCGTTCGTGGCGGTGCTAAGGGTTCAGATAGGCTATTGCAGGTGATTTTTGCATGGCTAAAAGGAAGGGAGACCTCGGGCACGAAAATGTCAAGTATGGAACAGGAGGCCTTACAATACGTTCTCGCAAGATCTGGAACGCCATTCCATCCTTTCCAGATCATATCTCCTGGCCTTCGTTCCTCGCGGCTTGCAACAATCGACAAAGACCATTTCTCCAAAGACAACTTAAAAGAGGTGTTTGATTGTCCACTGTTTGTTTGTCTTTATCTTTATCTGTGTGGATTCTTTTATCCGGTTGATAGGTCTCCATCCATCCATCGCGAATACCTACTAGCTCACTCCCGATTCCTCATCCATCGCCGGGATGGAATTCGAAGCGGTGAGACCCAAGTACTCTCCGCCGCTCCAATCGCTACACCTTCTCCAGGTACTCCACATTTCTTCTCCATTGTCCATAGGATTGATTAATCTTCCACAATGAGCTCGAGCTATAGAGGTTTTTACTGGTTTTCCAAGGTTCATGTGTTTTTCAGGCATGGCGATCGATCGCCCACGCCGGCTTTTGGGAATTCCAACCCGGAGGTGTGGAGCAGCAGGCTCGAGGCAGTGCCACCGCTGCTCCAGCCCCAGAATTACCAGTACCAAGAGCGCCCCTTCGGACACCTCACGAGGAAAGGTACTTGAGATGACTTGGTTCTCCTCTCCATGGAAGTCTGTGAGACTCGATTTGCAGGAGCCGAGCAAGCGAGAGGGCTGGGAGCTTGGATCAAGGACGCATATCTGGAGGAGCTCGGCGTTGATACCAGCCAGCCGGATTCTTTTTTGCGGGTGCGCTCAACCAACTTTCTAAGAACACACATGACGGGTGAGGCAAGTTGAAAGTTCCTCGTGTTTCGCTCGAGCTTATAGATTCGAGATTTTCCACTAGAGCAGCTTGGTTTGTGCTTGAAGCGCTCCTCGGCTCGGGCGAGCTAGCAGCGTCTGTTCCAATCTGCATCTCCGAGGATCGTCTGGAAAACTTGTATCACAACGATCACTGTGCACGGTATGGATTCACTCACATTTTCTCGCATCTCTTTGGCGAAGTCTTACAACTTTGATCCAAACCACAGCTTGGCCAAGCTCTGGAGAGCCTCTTTGAGCAGAAAAAGGCAAGCTGAGGTTCGTCCCGATGGTACTGTGCAAGAAACTGGATGGTGTGACCAGTTTGAGGTAAAACTTTCATTTTTTTCCATGAAAGAGTGCCTTTTTTTTCTTCCAGGACATTCGTTTTTCCTTCTCTAAGCACCTGGATTTACCTCAAGGAAAGAGATTTCCATGGGTTCTGGTATGAAAAAAAAAAACACGCTCTAGGTAGTAACGTCTCGTCCCTGCGTGAGGTTTTCATACTTTTCCTTTTTGTTGTGCCAGGCTGCTGATGTTGTTCACTGCGCACTAGCTCACGGAGATCCTGTCCCGGATAATTTTACAGTCGAAAAACTATGCGAGATTCGAGATTTCCTTGCTCAAGATTACGTGAGCTCATTTCAGGTAGAGCTGTCGTTAAGTTTTTCTAAGCTAGCTTCTAAGTCTCATGCTTGAAACTTCCACAGGACAGAGAAATCTGCGAGCTCTCAATGGGAAGATTGCTCCGAGAAGTCGTGAGTTCTATGGAGAACCACAGAGACACACCCTCATTGTATTTATATTCTGGCCACGATGCAACTCTCGTGCCACTCTCTGGTAACATCTTTTCTTTTCTTGATCTCTTGGATGAAACTTTCCCTTGTTTGATCGTTCTAGTTGCCTTGGGTCGACCATGGCAAAGCTGGCCATCTTACGCAGCATCCATTTCCATCGAGCTATGGCGCTCCTTGGAAGATAGCAACCAGCATTTCGTCCGTGTTCTCTACGATGGCGTTGCGGTTCCCTTGCCTGTGGAGTTGGAAGGCATCGAACAAACTTGGAAGCCCGAGCAGCAAAACACAATCAAGTCGAGCAAGAAAACCCTGTTTACGCTCCAGGAATTTGTCAAGCTCGCTGGCTGGACGATGCTCAGCGATGCCGAGTTCCAGAACAAGTGCCAGTGCATCTGAAGAACAAGTTCATTCGAATTCTTTCCAAGGACAAAGTTGGAAGAAAATAAAACAGAGCATTTTTTACCAGCGCTGGCTATGGCTTTCATAGAGGAGTTTCTTTCGATGGCTATGGCGACGCTCGTCCCAGGCCTGGACGAGGATACCGCCTACCAGTGCTTGCTGCGCGTCTCTCTCGAATCCCACGGGCAAATCCGCAAGGTGATGGTGGCTAACACCTACGAGGATCGAGCTGCCCAAGGCCACGATCAGGAATAGCTTGTTGCCATCGCGATGAGAAAGAGCGGCGCCGCGAACTTCAAGCAGCGTCAAGCCGGGGTGGATGATCCTTTCCACCACCGCCAGTCCATGGAGAAGGATTCCAGTGTCCAGTGTAGATATCTCAATGGCAAGCTCTACGTTATTGGAGGGTGGAGAAGCGAGGCTGATCCACACACCAACGAATGAAGCCGTGTGGCACCAGCTATCGCCTCGCGCGCATTCCACGAGCGTGGCTATGGAGGGCCGTAGGTGGCGTGGATGTCTCTTAT